CTCGAACGGCCAAGGCAAAGCGCAAACTTTGGTATCCTGGTTCATTTCACATCACGTTTTACGTCATTTATAGATAACTCATACCGATGTGATCTCCCCATCATAGATTTCAGATATACGAAAACCAGATATAAACGTACTGGCCTGTGTTACTTTATACAACGCTAACCACCGCTGTTAACGATGACGCCTCCATCCAAGAAATATCGATCTGAAAGAAACATAACATAGTATAGAATAAGCGCGTCATTACAACAAACGTTATTTTATCCCTGAAATACATGTCTACGCAAGGAATAAAATAACGAATCGATTATGTACATGTCGCAGCAGGCCACTTAAGTCGTAATACAGCCGAAAATCAGCCACTATTATAGTCGTTTGATGCTATGTGAAAGTAAACTCGATTGCGACCAACGACAGCTAATATGTTGTCCGCGTCCGTATGCATGAAATAATCTAACAGCCAGAGGGATACACACTCGCGGTAAAGCCAACACCACAATTCAGGCGCCTTCAATGCAAAAGGCAAATCGTGTTCCTGGAAAAAAAACGTCGAGTCAAAGATCAAGTTTAGTCTGCAACATTACTAAGAAAAGCCAATAAAACGCGACGCAGACCACACGCACTCACTTCCGCAACCCCGGGGCACTCATACGCCACGATCCAACAGGTCACAGTTGTTTAGCCCGACGCGCTAGTACGCAACGCGGGACCCGGTTCCCACAGACTGGATTAACTAACTCTGAGTTAAACTCACTATAACTCTAGTAGTAAACTCCCCCGATTAAATTGGGTTCATAAACATGGAAAAACCGAGTTAAGTAACACCTGATTAGGCAATGTTAACTCAGAGTTAAACTTTAATCCACGACTGTAGAACGCGAATTACAAAAACTCTGAGTTAACTTTTAACTCAGAGTTAAGAGATTTAACTCAGAGTTAAGAGTTAGATCGCACGTCTGGAACCACTCTATGCATGGTGCTGCTGTCACCTGCTAACAGTATGTCCAAACCGCGCTAGGCAGTTCACTTTCGTAGTTCGGCTAATTCGGAATAAGCAGCTCCACCAGTGTTTCTGCCGCTAGTTATACTGCGTCCTACTAGGAACCTACTGGCACAAACTAACAGACGACCGCGATAAATAATTGCGAGGCCTTCCAATTGAACACATGTTCTTTCTCTCTTACCTGATGATACAAAATAACCATAAAAAAACAATGCGAGAGATACTCGGCCCTCACACTCCAAACATACGTAGTAATTTTAATGGGGGTTTACAACGAAACAGCCTACACGCATCCGGATGCAATAAAATCGAGAAGTGCCGCACCACAAACCACATCCCAGGGACGTCATGGCCCTCGCCAAATTGCTACTGCAGAAAAAGTAGATCACCGAGTGATAATGTATCAGATAGCGGTATGGTGTGTGCCGCAAGCACGCATGGCGTACGCCGCGAATCGCGAAGCCGATGTCGGGCGGGTATGGGGTACTACTCCCAGAAATTTTTTGAAAATTAGAGCCTCGGAAATGACATTTTCCGCCATTCAGGCTATGTTGAAAGCACACCAATTCTGATAATTTTTAAAAGGTCAATTTGTAACATTTCAAAGAAGAATGTACTAACGATGTTTGCACTAAAGTATCTAAAATATATATTATGAGATATAATTGAATAAAACATCTGTTACAAAATTGTATATACTATCAGTACATAATATGAAACAATAATATACTTTTAATATTTCCGTTCCAGTGCATCGTACTTTTTCAAAAATAATACGT